CAGAACATCCAGATTTGAGGGATGGGAGAGAAGCGAGGGATGAAGGCCCTCTTGGCCTGGTGTCGGATGGTGACTGATGGCTATAAAGATGTTTGTGTAACCGACATGACCAAATCCTGGAGGGATGGACTGGCGTTTTGTGCTTTGATCCACCATTTCCGCCCTGAACTCATGTGAGTATAGCTTTAGTTATTTTTGGTGCTTACTACAAGAATAAAGTAAGGTTTGGTTTCAATTGTATGTATATTTAATTTCAACCCTAGTCAACATACATGGAAAAGTTGAGTTCTTTCTAACACAACACTTTGTCACTGTAGCAGATTAGAATACCCAGTATAATTAACTATCTTTATTTAATAAGTGACGAGTTTAGACTTTAAGATTTAGGGCGGGGGTCTTAAAGAGAATCTGTCGGAGGACCTGTTTCAGCGATAGTTTACAGGGGGTAGGCCCGCTGAGATAATGAGGTATGCATTATTTTTACTTATGGTTCATATTTGGATTTCAGTACATGTTTACTCGTGACTGTTAAATAAACTGTCTTAAAGGTTTTGGGAACTTGGTGGGCGTACAACAGCCACTATACTCAGTGTTAAAATTATCAGATAAACATTTAATTACGCCGTGCTTGGGTTACTTCAGCTCAGCGTTTTGAGAAGGTTTAATAACAACACACAGAGATTCAATTCAGTTTACAGGATGATTATCAGAACAAGAAGACAATCATATCTTAAACTACTGGCTTGAGAGGAATTATATTTCACAATGGGCGCATTGAGAACCGTGATATTTATTCGGGAAACACTGGGCATGGTTCAAGATGTTTCCAAGTCACACCGCATACTTAAATACCTTTTCTCGCCAGTTAGCATTAATTTTTTTGTTTTTTTAGTCGCGACTGAGCGGCTCATAGAAGGGCTCTGTGGTTTGTTTTGATTTTGTTTTTTATCTCGTAGCTCCGTTATTTCTTGACCAATTTGAGATCTAATTACAGTTTTAGACCCAGGAGATCAAAACTCTTTGTTTGATGTATTTCATCACTCCCAAAGTCTCGTAGATTAATTTACTTTAATCCTGCCTAAACGAATTTCAATTTGAGGGTAGGCTGGTAGAGATCCTGATGAGTAATAAAATCAAATCTGGTATATGTGCGCTCCACGCTTGGTATTGCTGGCGCACAAAAATATAGCTAATAAAAAGGAAAACAAAGGTCTCAGAAATTAATGTACTGTAATCCTACCCAAAATAATTTCAAGTGCCGCGGCTATTGAGGATTCCTTTTTTACACCCATTTTTGACAACACGAGATTGATGTGAATAAAATCCTCTTAAGTACACATCAGGATATTGAAAGTATAAGTTGACATTGCGCAATAGCAATTATGTTTACATTAGCTTCATTTAACTTGATATCTGGTCGAGAATGATGGAAAGCGAAATAACCAACGATATTAATGTTTTTGAAACAAGCTGTATCGTGTTATAACTATCCTGAATGAAACTTATAATCCTCATTGTGTGTGTGTGTGGTGAAATTTTGATTACCTAGGATAAACAGCTTTTCATTTTCAATATAGGTTTTTTTTTATCATCATCCCCTTTTTTATATTATACAACGTAATTCAATGATTCACATACAAGTTCAGAGAACGACATTCGTGTTTCTAAACTGTAAGCAAATGAGAGAATTATACAGTTGTTTTTTAATTATGTAACTGTACATTCCCCAAACTAGATATTACGTCGCAAAATTCAATTTAATCATATCATTCTTTACTGGCCAAATAAGAATTTCCGAAAAGAAATGTATAGTAGCATTTTAATTGTATTAAATGTACGCCGCTGTCAACATTTGTCACCAAAACAAAACACGTTATTATCTTAATGTTGTGTAGCGACCGCATCTAACCAATAAACAACATTAAATATATATCTTTTCTAAATTGTGGTAATAATTCATGAAATAGTAACTTCGGGCCTAAAGACGCCACACTTTCTCCCTGTCCAGGAGCGCGGTCCTGCGGTAGAGCGCTAGATTTCGCTACTGACGAGCTGGGTTCGAAACTGTGCGCTGCCGCAAAGTATTTCCCGCACTTTAAGCTGTAGATGCATGATAAGAATGACAGTCAATCTCTTAGCGGGGATGGTGGGTGGAAGGGTACTGCTGACTACCTGCCTACCCTCCCTCTGGTCAGTAGTTCAAAGTTAGTGATGTCAATAAATATCCTAAATAGCTTTGCCATACATACAAGATACAAATTCTTCCTTTCCACTTTGTTTGTTTAATGTTGATTATTAAAGATGACAGCTCAGAAAAGCCCAAAAGGCAGAACAACAGATGCAACACGGTGGGGGCAAACTGTGTTTGACAACTGACTGATTGAAAACGTTTCAATCTGTGAAATGATAAACATTGAGGCAAAAAGGTGGAATTATTGACTACTGGTATCATGTCAGAAACGTCAATGTACACGATAGAGAGTAAACATTCAGGAACATTTGGATTTGCAGTTTGCATCAAATGTTTCTCCAGTTTATTTCATTTGGTGAGTATTACGTTATTAACATTTTACTTGGTGGGTTTGGAATTGTTTTATAAGTACTTCCTTGGCCAGTGAAACATAGTTGGAAGTATGGAGACTAACGGTAGGATTACGGAGACTAACGGTAGGATTACGTGCCATGTTGTTCTTGTTGGAAACTAATCATCTGCTGTGAATAGCATTGAATTAAAGCCGTTTCACTTATGAAATATGCTGTTATGTTATATCAATCGAGCGTATTAGTTCTAGTTTTTAACCTGAAGACTTTTGATTGTCTGTTATAATATAATGGCTATTATGGTCTGGATAAGATAACTTTATATATAAGTAGCAGATAAACTTCGCAGCGCCCCCGTAGCTCAGCGGTAAGTCTGCCTGCTTAGGACGTTAAAAATTGGGTTAAAATTCTGAGCAATTTTAAAGTTAAATTCTATGAACGTTTGATAGAGCCCAATGACACTCAATTTATGTTAAAGTCCATGGTCTGAGCAGTTCACAGTGTTGAGAGTGTAGGCTAAAACCTACGACAAGCATAACGTTACCACTACAAGATAATATTGCCCGGTCGCCGAATTACGTCAGTTCAGTGAGGTATTATATTCATACATGTTACTCCCAAAGCCAGATTCAGATTTTAATGTAATAACGCGTACGTAGTGCAGACAACGTTGGCGCCAGATCGACATAATTCAAAATGATGTTTTTCAACTTTGTAGTGAAATCTGTTATTGTGGTGTGTTCGTTTTCTGTCGTCAACTAGACTAATCTGATCGCATAGTTATATATATATATAAAAAAAAAATCCACCTTATGTACTTCAACTAAGAGTGCAATGAAACTTATACATGAATTACTTATCGCTTTATTTACTTATTTATTGAAAGAACGGAAGCAATTAGTATTTTTTATCTCATTGTAGAGTTTTATAAGATATAAACCCTTTCACTGATTCGTGTTTGTTTCCACACCACTTTATAAATAACACGTAATAATCACGAAAACCGTCAATGAACTATCATAAACTTGTTTTCAGCATCAGTTTCAAATTAGGTGCAACTTCGCGTGGTTGGTCATCCATACATTGCAACAAAACAATACGTGTGTCCATTTTCATTGTGCTGTGTTTTTAGCCCAATATTCCTGGTTACATGGTGTTTCTTTGGTCTTTTAACGCTTTTCTGTTTCTTTCAATTTGTAGTCGTGGAACAGTTAGTGTTTCTTTTCTATAGTAACAATTGAATAATTAAACATTTAAAATAAAGCCACGCTTGAAGGACTATTAAAAAAAAACACGTTCGTTGTGAATAATGTTCAGCAAATTTATTTTTTGATCTCGAAAGAACTTTTTTCTTTACTTTCCTAAGTACGCCATGCGATATATTAGAACTAGGAAGTCTTCATTATTACGCAGATATACCTTTATCCTAATTCTTTGATTGTTCGCGGAAAACATGAATAATTTATGTAAAAATACGGAACGATTCGATTGACTATGAGTTATAACCTAGAGATTTATATTTTCCCTTCGACTTTCAGAATGATAAGCGGCGTTAATAACCTTAAAGTTGAAGAAGACAGATTACTGAGTATCTAATAAATGCCATAATTTCCTTCGTCTCGTCCATATTAACCCGAGCTTTTCAATAACACTAAGTTGAATAATTGATAAGCAGCTAATATATAATCATTAGTTTAGTAGAACCATTAAGCCTCGTCACACTAGAATTAGGTGTTCGTTTCGTAATTTCTGGTTATAGATATATAATCATTCCCACTTTTAAATGCAGCCCTCTTTCTGTAAAAGAAATAAAATATATTTCTATGTTATGAGAGTTGATGGATTTCCTTTAAGTTGAGAATACAAATTGGAGAAGATAATGAAGATGATACTGGTGTTATGGGGTTTCACCTCAGCTGTTTAAACAATCAGAATACGTGTATATCCCCCGTCGTTCCAAAATGGCAAAAAATATTAGAATGCTCGATAAACCCGTAATTTTAGCATGGGAAAATAATTAGAAACTGCGTTCTCCCAATGAGACACCCAACCCGAGAACCTACTTTACTGTTTGATTCACGTATAACCCAGTTCATATAAACATGTAAGAGATTTCGTTTCCTCAAATACTGAGAAACTGAAAATCAAATATTAGCAAACTTAATGTAGTCTTATTCTACTATACGAAAAAACAAAAATCATTACTGTACATAACCTGAACCCCTGGTAACAATAAACTCTAACAATTAACCTGTAAAACTATGCTTGATTCAACAATAATGCCAGCCAATAATATAAAATGTTCGTCCATGATTTATATTAACTGAACATGTAACAAAAATAAGCCCTATCAGTCAGCTGTAGAAGCATCCTTGATTCAACAACAATACCAACCTGTAATAACTAACATTTTCGTCCATGGTGTATATTAACTGAACCTATGGTAATAATAAGCTCTAATAATCGGCTGTAGAGAACTATGCTTGATTCACCTATAATACCAGCCCTTAATAACAACTAACATGCTCGTTTATAATGTATATTAATTGAATAATGTTATCATTTTGTCCTAATAATCCAATCCGTAAAATAGTTAGCGATACCTTATTAACCTAAACTGTCAAATAACTTATAAATTCACCAATGTTAGATACCATGGTAAAAAGTGTTTTTCTTAACGATTAGGTTGGTAGTCGTTCTTAACAAACTAAACAGAGAAAAACGTCGCAAGGATCGTGTTTTAAACTTGAGTAGAAAGTTAAAGTTCATTTACTGCTTTGCATAACCTTGATGTCCGATTAAGTAATGAAAAAATTCAAACTGAATTCTTATTATGTAACTTCTTGTCATCAAGTTGTATTCCAGAGGTTCGCAAAATTCGAATATTATTTACCGTTTACCATTTTAACAATGAACTGTAGGAAAACAAGGTTCTATAACTCATTATTTTCCAAAATGTAGCGAACTTACCCGTAATTTGTTTTTGATACACGAATTAAATTTAGATAAATAACTATGTTTTATTAATTTGTTGTCTTTTTTTTTTTTTTACACGCTTTCCAGAGATTTTGACTCATTGTCCAAGGAAAACGTTTTCCATAACAATTACTTGGTAAGTCACTTTTTTGAAAACCTTTTGTTTTGAGGTAAGTTAAAGCTACATTAAAACTTTGTTAGAGCATGTTATGCTAGGTTTATTATTAATATCATCATCATCATCATCATCATCATTTTAATTATTCAAAGTCTAATAATTCATTATAAAAAGTGACGTATATAGGGCTATAGTGGCCCCTTTTGCCCCTTCCACAAACCCTTTACCCATCAAAACACCCTTTTACCAAAATATACCACAGTTTCCAACTTAATATCTGAGAAGACTGTTAAAAGAAAATGTATACCAGTAATTATTTGATTAATGATATACGAAAAGCTTGTAACGAAAATAATTTACCGCTGAGACAAGTTTATATATATATATATATATATATATATATATATATATATACAACTTGAAACTTTAGCATCTTTGGTTGGTTGGTGGCGTGTTGCAGGGTGGCTATTTTTTTCCTTTTTTTTTTCTGAATAAAAACATTGCCTGTTAATAAAGGAACATCCGTGACACCCGTTTTTTTTGTTGTTTTTTTTTCTCGTTGTTATAACTCTAGTTTTTACTTCCTGCTGAACTAACGGTAGGATCAGAATAGCCCTTCCATTTAAATCGAGCCCCTTTTTTACCGGTAGCTATGGGTTTTAATGAGCCACTCTAGTCAGCAAGTAGTTAAAAACAGGCTGCTGGAACATTCAGTGTATGATAAACCATGTATAAAAAGATAACTATTTATAAAGACAAAATAACAGGACGCCCAATTTGGCACGGGTAACTAATGACCGTCCTATTCCACGCGAACTCATTCCAAGCAGTTATAAAACCACACACACACACACACACACACACACACACACACAAACTGTGTCAGGTTGAAACTCGCGTCAGAGGTACTTGTGGCGCGTTGTTTGCCACACGAGTGTGGTAGAGTTTAGTCTATCGTCACCTATTTCAACTGCACTGTATGAAGTACAAACGTGGTTCAACCTAATTTACACCATAATTGTATAATACTCATTTTTATTTTATGGATCACTGGATCTAGGTCGTATGCACAATCCCGTAATTTTGGTCTAAGATTTTCAAGTCATCCTATCATTAGAAATATTTTTGCTCTATTTTAAATCAAAGTTTAAAGGAGCCGTGTCGTTCACCTTAATGTACAGAATACGCTCAATCGCGTTTTCCTAAAACCAAGATGTTAACCTTAACTCTCTGGTCCTTAATATTACAGTTCATTCAAATTGAATGTTTCTGTATTTATTATATATTTTAGACATTGTTGAATAGTCCAAAATCATGATTTACGATCGTTATGGATGGATAAAAGATATAAACGAAACTAGAGTCCATATTACAATGTGGAATGGGTAAAATACATCGTAGTAAGAGAGATAACTCGGAGTTATCCTCACAGTTGTGGAACTACGTCGTTTATCAGAGTTAATCTGCATTCGCAAGCCTCATATGTGAATTAAAACTAAAAGAAGGGGGAATCTTCAATAGCCACAGCACTTGAAATTATTTTAGGCAGGATTAGAGTAAATTAATCTATGAGACCTTGGGCGTAGTCAAACAAATCAATCGAAAGGGTTTGACCTCCTGAGTTCAAAGCTGTAATTAGATCTCAAATCAGTCAAGAGGTGACGGAATTATGAGCTAAACGTTTGTAC